ACAACACCCCTTCCACCTACAACACCCCTTCCACCTACAACACCCCTCCACCCCTACCCTACAACGCCCCTCCAACTACAACACCCCTTCCACCTACAACACCCCCTCACCCTACAACACCCCTATCAGTTACTATCACTATCTACTCAAGTTTGACCATATAATCACCAAGTAGAGCATTTAAAGTATATACTCACCAAGTAGAGCATTTAAAGCATATACTCACTATGTAGAGCATTTAAAGCATATACTCACCAAGTAGAGCATTTAAAGCATATACTCACCAAGTAGAGCATTTAAAGCATATAATCACCAAGTAGAGCATTTAAAGCATAATAACTGTTAGTCACATATTCATAAGTACTACATGTACTACTGTTTACTCAAGATAACCGGAGACTTTATGATAAATTATAATGATGTTTAACGTTGTAATCACCAAGTAGAGCATTTAAAGCATATAACTTGTTGGATGCATGTCCATTAGTTACTATTACTATTTACTCAAGTTTTCCGGAGACTATATAGCAAGTTATAATGATGTTTAACGTTATGATCACCAAGTAGAGCATTTAAAGTATATACTTACCAAGTAGAGCATTTAAAGCATATAACTTGTTGGATACATATCCTTTAGTTACTATTACTATTTACCCAAGTTAACCGGAAACTAAATGGCAAGATATATTGACAGTTTAATGTCACAGTAATAATCACCAAGTAGAGCATTTAAAGCATAATTTGTAGGATACATATTCACTAGTTACTAATATTACTCGGAGTAATATATTAACCGGAGACTATATAGCAAGTTATATTGATGTTTAATCACCAAGTAGAGCATTTAATTAAAGCATATCTTAATTCTAAGCTGGTGTTAATGACGCACTGTGGTATAGGGCAATACTGTTGTAGTTATCCTTTAAACATTAGTACTGCTAACCGTAAACGTTACTCCCTGTTGGTGTCATTTGGCAAAGGCATTAGTCACACTTCCCTATAGTGCATAGCTCACCAGAGGGACTATGTAGTAAATTAGCTTGTTAGTTTTGTTAGCTCACATTTTAGTAGCCTGGTGTCCAACCCTACTTCTAGCTGCCGAGTGTCTTTCGCGATCGTCCTGTCCGCAAAGAACCCGGGAGGACGAAAGAGATAGCCTCTACCAGGCTTCGGGAGGCGGCTGGAAAGAGTAGAAATTGGCCAAATAGAGAGATAACATGCTGGGGGAATTGGTCCTCTAGAGAGTACAGTTTGCCACACCCTAGAAAGACATTCTGCAGCTAAATTATGCTTGGACACCAGGCTAAAATTTCTCTTCCAAGGTCTAGAACTGAGAATATATCCTGTCATTTAACGATTGCAGAAAATCTACTGTTACTTTCTCTCGGTAATAAAGTGGGCTGCGGGAAATCTGCCTTTGTCTGGATGTTCTTTGGGTGTGAAATTACAAGGAAATTCCTTCATTAAATTGAATATTACTGATAAAAATGAATGAATGAATACCTTTATTGTAAATTTTGGCCCCACTGGGCTAAGCACGGGTCACATGATTACAATCATATACGTATAGAAATACACACACACACTCACACACACACACACACACACACACACACACACACACATACACACACACACACAAATCTACATGTATATACTAGTACAAAAAAGAAAGCCCGATAAAACGCATAAAACACGTCAAAAACAAGCCGAATGCTAAACGATGTAATTGGTCACACACAAGGAAAACACGTTTTTGTTAATCATGATTCATGTCACTAATCCCAACAGGATAGGTCACACAAAAACGGCTGCGCAGTCTTGCTTTTAAACACGAATTACTACATACGAACATTGAACTTTGCAAAATCATGAATACTACGGTTTAGCAAAATTAATTGCATCTGTGCATCCATTAGTTAACATTGCATAGAGGGAAATTATTTGTTTTAGCTGGCACTGTGAAAAACGATTGACAGTACACTCTTACTTTGAACACGTGATATCGTCAAGTCCTAAGGCACTCAGGTCCTAAGGCACTCAGTCAATTGCAAGAAAGAGTCTGTTTATTGAAAAGACCAGTTTATATAGCCAATCATGCAACCTTTGAACTCCATAGTCATCACCTGTGTGCATCAAAGTATACAAAACACACGTGTGTCGCAACCATTTATTTAATATCTCCCGATACCGGCTTTGTTTTTGTTCAGTGAAAATGGCATTTTTTGAGACAAATTGTACGTGAGTACTGACTGGGAGAAAATAGACTGGGAGAAAAAAGCATTGAAACAAAAATGAAGTCTTAATGAAGTCTTCACGGTCTTTGTTCTCATTAAAAACCGCCCACATGTGCACCGTTTGGGAGTAAATAGTCAGACTGAACTGTGACACACACCCGGTTCCGTGGATATGATTTAGCCTCTACCAGGCTTCAGAGGCGGCTGGAAAGAGTAGAAATGTGCCAAATAGACAGATAGCTTGTCAGGGAAGTTGGTCTGCTGAAGGACTACAGTTTGGACTGGCAAACTGTACATATTTAGCAGACCAACTCCCCTGGCATGTTATCTGTCTATTTGGCAGATATTTAATTTTCAGCCCCTTCTAAAGCCTGGTAGAAGCTAGATCCTGCTTAACAGCACGTTTGTAGAGTTGCCCTCATCAAGACTTACCTGCAACACGAGGATGTCTCAATCAGCTCGTACCATGGTCCATGCATTGTCTTGTCTCTATAGCGTGTATCCACGAGAAATGCATGAAAAATAAGGGGAGGGAACCGATCTAAATTTGGATTGTTCACCTCAGAGGTGACCTCCTGCGCAAACCAAAACATGCCAATTCCACGCCGCTGTTTTCATGTTTTCATATTAGGACTATAGATATATCACCAACGAAAATTGTAGTCAATGAAGTTAATGCGTAAGATGAGGAAAATCTAACAACGAGGATGCATTTTTTTATCTTGGTCTTTGAGTTGCTTAT